TGGGAACAGGTAGGGCAGTGAGAGGCGGCCTAGCGTAGCAGAGGTAGGTGAGGAGTAGCGAGCAACGACAGCTTTGTACAGTGACTGAGCAGTCTTCTGCTGGCTAAAGTGCTCGCGTTCATCTAACGGCAGGGAGTTGCGAATGGCGAAGCGAGAGTGGGCGTCACGAGTCTGCCACTGTGAGCGGGTAGTACTATCAGCTGTCTCAGTAGGGGCAGGAGCGAGGCCTAACGCATGGTCATACAGTGAGATATCCTCCTTAGCAGTGAGCTGGAGGAAGAGATGGAGGTCATCGAGCCAGGTGTCAAAACGGATCGGGCGGCCCTCAGCATCGAAAGCTAGAACTGCAGGACTAGCCATAGTTTCAGTAGGAGCAGTAGGAACAGTAGGAAGAGTAGGAACAATAGGTACAGTAGTAGCAGTGTGACAGCACAGTGCGGCTCGGGCAGGGCGGCGCGGCGCGGCTCGGGCAAGGCGGCGCGGCGCGGCTCGGGCAGGGCGGCGCGGCGCGGCTCGGGCAGGGCGGCGCGGCGCGGCTCGGGCAGGGCGGCGCGGCGGCTTGCCCTTGCGGCTGTGCGCGTGACTGCACGCACCCCCTAGCGCGGAGCTATGCGTGCGGTTGCGTGGGCGGCCGTGCGCTTGCAGCTGTGTGTGCTGCCGTGCGTGCGGTCGTGCTTGCGGCCGAGCGTGCAGCTGCGCGTGCGGCTGTGCAGGCGGCCGCGCGCGGCTGCGCTAGCTGCTGCGCGTGCTGTCGTACGTGCGGCTGCGCGTGCGGCCTATCGTGCGGCTGCGCGTGCGGCGGAGTAGGCGGCTGCGCGTGCGGCTGACGGGCGGCTCGTGCGGCTGTGCTAAGGGCGCACGACGACGCTAGGAAGAGGGGGGGGGGCTCGACGGCGCGAGGAGGAGGGGCGCACGATGGCGCTAGGAGAGGAGGCGCGCGACGGCGCTAGGAAGCGAGGCGCTCGACGGCGCGGCGGAACGGTGGGCCCTACCGAACGTGGGTCCTAGGTCCTAACCTAGGCGTCGGATACCATGTTAGAAGATAGTACTGCACGAGAATGAATGAACTAGAAAGAAGTTGGGTACAAGTATGAAACCCTAAGTTTGTTGTACCCCCTAAGGCTAAACCCACTATAGCCTACACAATATAAACATATAATGTTTGACAGTATTCCCTCGGGAAGGCGATAATCCGTGGGCGTCCTTTCTGACCAAGCCCCGCATTTGGCAGGATTGTGGCTGAGCCCTATTTCAGCCAAGCGGCTTGTGAAGTGATTAAACGCAGCCGCGCACGACGACGGTTCCCCCAAGAAGGTCACGTCATCTGCGTATGCCAAGCAGATGACCTCGGGGTGCGCCTCCGCAGCTGCCTTCAGAGCCGGTTGCATGGCGGCGGCAAAAAGGAGGGGGCCGAGAGGGTCCCCTTGGCGGACTCCTGTTTCGCTGAGCAGGGGCGGATGGTCGAAGGCCGCGTCTAGGTGCAGTATTGAAGGCTGGCCGTATGAGAAGTGTACCAGTGGCAGTAGTGGTTCCAACTGTGAGTCTTTCAAGGCCGTCGCCATGGCGTGGCGGTCAACACTATTGAACGCATTGGCCAGGTCAGCCTGTAAGACCAAGGCGTCCTTGTTGGCCGCAGTGAAAGTGCGAACGATATGAATGACTGCTTCGGCACCTCCAGGCACGGCCACTCCAAACTGTAAAGGTAGGAAAAACTCTCGGGCTGCTTCTGCTAGCTGGGTAAGCGCTGCTTTGGCTGCCAATCGGAGGACGCACTCTCCTATGGCGATCGGCCTGGTCCCCCCATCGGGCTTGTCTAGGGCTATCAAACGTGATGCTGTGAGGAGCTTCCCTACTTCCTGACATAACTTCCCTCTCAGGATTGTGTTGACCAACGCATGTAAGTGATACCCAACAGTGGCGTGTATCAGGGCAGCTTCGCGCAGGTGCTCGAACGTTGTGCCCGAGGGACCTGCGCCTACCCCATTCTCACACCGCGAGAGGAGCTTCAGAAAAACTTCCCGCGAAACTGCCAGGTATGAGTCCGGTTCAGGCTGGGGCCACGGTGTGCCAGGGCGCGGGGCACTTGGATGCTTGGCGCGGAGGGATTCCAGAACCGCCGGTGATGGCTTGCTGACTGGGGTGGCTTCCAGTGCCATGACTGCTCTGCGTAAGCTGCCTCGTCACGCCAGACCCTCTGCCCTTGATATTACCCCCAGGTCGTCTGGCTGGTGTCTAGGTGGCTGAGGGGACTCCAACGAATCAACCGTTTCCTGGTACAGTGCCTCCCACTCCCCTCGCAGGAATTTACGCAATCTTTCCCTGGTCGCCTTCCAGTCAGGGTGCCTCGGCGAATGCTGACGCAGCGTCAGGCGAGCCGCGAACAGCAGAATCGTCCAGGCCGGGATGGAGTCTGGGTCGTGTGCGAGTCGTAGCAGTGGTGTCAGCATAACCATAGCGAAAAGTAGGCGCAATTTTTCCGGCAGGCGACGTGCCAGCGGAGCGTTGCGACTATCGCGTAGCTTATCCATATTCCAGGTACTGACGTTCGCGAATAGTGTGTCGTCCTTGGCGAGGGCTTCGGGCGATTTTTTGGGGGGGGGGCTGTGGTTGCTGTTGGTTACCCCTCGCTGCAGTTCGCGGTGCATTTGCAGGTGGCGAAGTCAGGTTCGGTTGGGCGGGATGGTTGGCAGTGGTGGCAGGGGGGCGGGAAGCGGTTTGAATCTGTGGTGAGGGTCGCGGCTGGGTGAATGTGTTTCTGAAATTTGATGACGCGCTTCGGGCATGGGTTGAGCTGATTCTCCCCCGAGCTGGAGTTTGTGACTGGGCCTCCTCCGAGGCATTCGAAGTTGAGGGTGCGCCTTCTTCTCCCTCCTCCGCCTCATAAATACTCCCCGATACTTCTACTTCTTCGTTAGTTCTAGCTAATTCAGTTAAAGCCCTTCGCGCCGCTGCCTGGAACGCGTTCTCCGGACCTCCTTCACGAGTGCCTCTACCACGTCCGCGACCTCCGGCTCGACCCCCTCGTGCCCGCGCACTGGCCGCGGTCAGCTGGGGATTTCCGCGACTACCTACTCCCGCGTTCTGACGCAGCCGTGCGTCCTCGATCACCTGCTGTCGGCGCGTTCGCCGCAATGGCGACTGAAGCGGAGAAGTCAGCGGTGGATCAAGGTCGCACCGCTGAGAGCGCGATTGCTCCGCCTCCGGCCCTTGTTGCTGGTGTAGCTGTTGGTGCTGCTCCCTTTGCCCCCCCGGCTCCTCCTGTTGCTGTTGCGGCGTCCTCTGTTCCAGTCCCGCCGGTGTCGGCTCCCCCTCCGAGCCTTCCACACGTTGATCCCACGTCCGGCGCGCCGGTTCCCGTCGCGCAGCCGTCGCTTGTGGCCGCGCTGTCTGTCCAAGCTGCCGCCGGGGGCCCTGCGCCGGGGACAGCGGTGGGCGCCGGCCCCGACTCTGCCCGCCTGGTGGCCCCTGCGGCTGCGCCGGTGCATCCCGTCGCGCAGCGGCACGCGGAGTCTCAGATTCACGGTGCCGCGGGGGGCAATGCGGCGCATCGGGGGCGAGGTTCTCCTCGGCGACGCCCCTCCTCGTCGTACCGGTCAGCGCACCGCGGAGGCCGCGGTGGCTGGTGGGGAGGTCACGGTCGCGGGCGCGGTGGGCCAAGCGAGATGCAGCAGCTGCGCGAGGATTTCCCGGGGATGTTAGCTGCGGCGATGCGCAGTGCCCTGAGTGGCGCACCGAATCTTGGAAACTCTCTGGCTCCCGCCGCTCCTGCGTCCGCCCCCGCTCCTGTGAATGCGCAAGCTCCGACCGCGCCCCTTGCTGCTCCTGCGCCACCCGCATTGGCGTACCCGCGGGTTCCCGCTCCTGGCGCTGATCGTGCTCCGCGTGCATCCTTGTGTCCTGTTTCTGCTGCGCCATATCCCCTGCTGCCATGGATTCCTCCTCTTCCAGACACGGGATTTGTGGGGGCGGGAGGCGGAGGGGCGAGGGTGGCCTTCGTCCCTCCGCGGCAGCGTGCTGATGTTCCATCAGTGCAGCCCCCGCCCCCTCTTCCTGCTCCGGCCGCGCTACTGACCACTGGGCTGGCCCAAGTTCCCACGGCGACTCTCGCCCAGTTGTGGCGATTGGTGGAGTGTCAGTAGGCCCTGACACTGATTCTGGTGAACTCACATTTTGCCATTCTCCGGTACCCAGGGAGCACTCTTGATCGTGATGCGCGAGCTGATTGCATGGCGGCTGCTGCCCAGCTTGCCTTCCTCCTCCTACCCGTGCTGGGAGCGCCCGCGCTGGGAGACGTAGCGGTCTCGCAGCTGGACGAGACGGTCCAGGGTCTGACAGCACACCTCCGCGATGGAGGCGCGATTGAAGCTGTCGGCGCGACCGCGTTAGTGGTCCAGCAGTTGTGGAGGACCATGCGCGGTATCCTTGCGGCACTGGATGCCCACTTGATGTAGCCTCAGGCACCCGCCGTATGTAGACCTGTTGCATCTCGGTGTCTAGAAGGTGGGCACATTGCCCATAGTTGTCTTGCCGTGTGTGCCTATATCTGTCCTACCTCTAGTCTTTGCCACCCAAAAGCACGCGGCCGCAGGCCGCGCACGCGAGTGCTGGCGGCCGAAGGCCGCCAACGCGAGCGCCTACGAAAACTGGAACCAAATGAACTAATGAAAAAAAGAGGTCTCCACGGGACACTTATATAGCTAGGGACAGAGGGCAGAGGCAGAGGGCAGAGGCTAAGTCCTCTCTCTCTCTCTCACTCTCTCCGCCTACGAAAACTGGAACCAAATGAAATTGAACTCCACACAACAAGTCGTTTGACTGGCATCTGGCACACCTACATGCCCATTATAAGGCCATCGAAACAGGAACCCTTCTGCTGCCTCGCTCCCCTCAACGATTCTCCCATCTCTCTCTCTCTCTCTCTCTCTCTCTCTCTCTCTCTCTCTCTCTCTCTCTCTCTCTCTCTCTCTCTCTCTCTCTCTCTCCCCTTCCCCCCCGTGCAGCTACCACGACCCGTACAACAAGGCGTTTGAGCGCTACCTATGGCACATCTACATGCCCGTTATAAGGCGACGAGACTTCGTTAAAGGCAACCAGGTGAGGGCTCGTTATAAGGCAACCAGGTGAGGGCTCGTTATAAGGCAACCTGGTGGACTGATTTGCACCCCGCAAGACACATGTGTGCGCCGTTTACTCGCCTATCTCTCCCCATGTTCCCCATCCCGTGTGGGTATGTGGCTTTATTGTGGGTATGTGGCTTTATTGTGGGTATGTGGCTTTATTGTGGGTATGTGGCTTTGTTGTGGGTATGTGGCTTTATTGTGGGAATGTGGCTTTATTGTGGGAATGTGGCTTTATTGTGGGTATGTGGCTTTATTGTGGGTATGTGGCTTTATTGTGGGAATGTGGCTTTATTGTGGGAACGTGGCTTTATTGTGGGAATGTGGCTTTATTGTGGGAATGTGGCTTTATTGTGGGAATGTGGCTTTATTGTGGGAATGTGGCTTTATTGTGGGTATGTGGCTTTATTGTGGGAATGTGGCTTTATTGTGGGAATGTGGCTTTATTGTGGGTATGTGGCTTTATTGTGGGAATGTGGCTTTATTGTGGGAATGTGGCTTTATTGTGGGTATGTGGCTTTATTGTGGGTATGTGGCTTTATTGTGGGCTGTGTAGCTGTGTCGTGCTTGTACCTGTCAGCCCATTCTCCCCCCTCCCGGCGCAGGGAATTAGAGTAGCGGCTGTTTTCATAGAATTCCAAACATACAGCTGTCGTGTTGTGCCGTGCTGTGCTGTGCTGTGCCGTGCTGTGTCGTGCTGTGTCGTGCTGTGTCGTGCTGTGCCGTGCTGTGTCGTGCTGTGTCGTGCTGTGTCGTGCTGTGCCGTGCTGTGTCGTGCTGTGCCGTGCTGTGCTGTGCCGTGCTGTGCCGTGCTGTGTCGTGCTGTGTCGTGTTGTGTCGTGCTGTGCCGTGCTGTGTCGTGCTGTGCCGTGCTGTGCCGTGCTGTGTCGTGCTGTGTCGTGCAGTGTCGTGCTGTGCCGTGCTGTGTCGTGCTGTGTCGTGCTGTGCCGTGCTGTGTCGTGCTGTGTCGTGCTGTGCTGTGCTGTGCTGTGCCGTGCTGTGCCGTGCTGTGTCGTGCTGTGCCGTGCTGTGTCATGCTGTGCCGTGCTGTGCCGTGCTGTGTCGTGCTGTGTCGTGCTGTGTCGTGCTGTGCCGTGCTGTGTCGTGCTGTGTCGTGCTGTGTCGTGCTGTGTCGTGCTGTGCCGTGCTGTGTCGTGCTGTGTCGTGCTGTGCTGTGCCGTGCTGTGTCGTGCTGTGCCGTGCTGTGTCGTGCTGTGTCGTGCTGTGCCGTGCTGTGTCGTGCTGTGTCGTGCTGTGCCGTGCTGTGTCGTGCTGTGCCGTGCTGTGTCGTGCTGTGCCGTGCTGTGCCGTGCTGTGTCGTGCTGTGTCGTGCTGTGTCGTGCTGTGTCGTGCTGTGTCGTGCTGTGTCGTGCTGTGCCGTGCTGTGTCGTGCTGTGTCGTGCTGTGCCGTGCTGTGTCGTGCTGTGTCGTGCTGTGCTGTGCTGTGCTGTGCCGTGCTGTGCCGTGCTGTGTCGTGCTGTGCCGTGCTGTGTCGTGCTGTGCCGTGCTGTGCCGTGCTGTGTCGTGCTGTGTCGTGCTGTGTCGTGCTGTGTCGTGCTGTGCCTGATAGAATTGGAACTGAACTGATTGCTTGATAAGGAAGGCACTAGGCCTTAAGTACAAACAGGGTTGGGTTGAGCAAAGCTAGGGAAAGGATGGGATGGGAATCCTAGCAAATCTCCAATTGGTGAGTTGGCAGATTTGCAGGATTACGAGGGAATCCCAACCAGATAGGGTTGGGATTACAAATCTACACCCAACCTACAAAGTAACCTAACCGATATAGAATATAGTACAAAGTTTTGACTGACTATTTCTAACAGTGCCCTGCTGTGTCGTGCTGTGTCGTGCTGTGTCGTGCTGTGTCGTGCTGTGCCGTGCTCTGTCGTGCTGTGTCGTGCTGTGCTGTGCTGTGCTGTGTCGTGCTGTGCCGTGCTGTGTCGTGCTGTGTCGTGCTGTGCCGTGCTGTGTCTTGCTGTGTCGTGCTGTGCCGTGCTGTGTCGTGCTGTGCCGTGCTGTGTCGTGCTGTGCTGTGCCGTGCTGTGCCGTGCTGTGTCGTGCTGTGCCGTGCTGTGTCGTGATGTGTCGTGCTGTGCCGTGCTGTGCCGTGCTGTGTCGTGCTGTGTCGTGCTGTGTCATGCTGTGCCGTGCTGTGTCGTGCTGTGTCGTGCTGTGCCGTGCTGTGTCGTGCTGTGTCGTGCGGTGCTGTGCCGTGCTGTGTCGTGCTGTGCCGTGCTGTGTCGTGCTGTGTCGTGCTGTGCCGTGCTGTGTCGTGCTGTGTCGTGCTGTGCCGTGCTGTGTCGTGCTGTGCCGTGCTGTGTCGTGCTGTGCCGTGCTGTGCCGTGCTGTGTCGTGCTGTGTCGTGCTGTGTCGTGCTGTGTCGTGCTGTGTCGTGCTGTGTCGTGCTGTGCCGTGCTGTGTCGTGCTGTGTCGTGCTGTGCCGTGCTGTGTCGTGCTGTGTCGTGCTGTGCTGTGCTGTGCTGTGCCGTGCTGTGCCGTGCTGTGTTGTGCTGTGCCGTGCTGTGTCGTGCTGTGCCGTGCTGTGCCGTGCTGTGTCGTGCTGTGTCGTGCTGTGTCGTGCTGTGCCTGATAGAATTGGAACTGAACTGATTGCTTGATAAGGAAGGCACTAGGCCTTAAGTACAAACAGGGTTGGGTTGAGCAAAGCTAGGGAAAGGATGGGATGGGAATCCTAGCAAATCTCCAATTGGTGAGTTGGCAGATTTGCAGGATTACGAGGGAATCCCAACCAGATAGGGTTGGGATTACAAATCTACACCCAACCTACAAAGTAACCTAACCGATATAGAATATAGTACAAAGTTTTGACTGACTATTTCTAACAGTGCCCTGCTGTGTCGTGCTGTGTCGTGCTGTGTCGTGCTGTGCCGTGCTCTGCCGTGCTGTGTCGTGCTGTGCTGTGCTGTGCTGTGTCGTGCTGTGCCGTGCTGTGTCGTGCTGTGTCGTGCTGTGCCGTGCTGTGTCTTGCTGTGTCGTGCTGTGCCGTGCTGTGTCGTGCTGTGCCGTGCTGTGTCGTGATGTGTCGTGCTGTGCCGTGCTGTGCCGTGCTGTGTCGTGCTGTGTCGTGCTGTGTCGTGCTGTGTCGTGCTGTGTCGTGCTGTGTCGTGCTGTGTCGTGCTGTGCCGTGCTGTGTCGTGCTGTGCCGTGCTGTGCTGTGCCGTGCTGTGCCGTGCTGTGTCGTGCTGTGTCGTGCTGTGTCGTGCTGTGCCGTGCTGTGTCGTGCTGTGCCGTGCTGTGCCGTGCTGTGTCGTGCTGTGTCGTGCTGTGTCGTGCTGTGTCGTGCTGTGCCGTGCTGTGTCGTGCTGTGTCGTGCTGTGCCGTGCTGTGTCGTGCTGTGCCGTGCTGTGCCGTGCTGTGCCGTGCTGTGTCGTGCTGTGCCGTGCTGTGCCGTGCTGTACCTAGGGCCTAGGCTTAGTAGCCTAGACCAAGGGAGTGTCGAGTAGTTTGTGCCAAGGAGAATCGAGAATGAGTTATGTTCACTATAGAACCAAAGGTACAAATAGCAAACTAACAAGGGTGCACCACCAATGTTTCAAAGGCATAGCTACACTAAAGCTAACGCTACAGGCAGTTATACATACATATAAAATATATAACGCAACACACCCCCTTAACTGCCTGCAGCACATAGCTAGAGTAAGTCACACCCCCTGAAAGGGTATTGCAGGCGTTGAGAAAGACGGTAGAGAGGTGAGGAGGAGGAGGCGAGAGAGAGACAGGGGAGGAGAGGAGATAAGAACAAAGGAGGAGGTGAGTGAGGGATGAGGAGAGGAGGTGGGGGGGTGGCCGCGGCATCCCCTCTTACTAACCCCCTTTTACACAGGGGAGGTTGAGTGGGGGATGAGGAGTGGAGGTGGGGGGGTGGCCGCAGCGTCCCCTCTTACTAACCCCCACATCCCCACCCTCAATCAACCAACCCCCTGTAACCTCACCCCCCATTTCAACCGTCCCCTGGAACCGCACTCCCTCCCTCCTGTTCTTCCTCCAGACCCCTCCCCACCCACGATGGTCCCTGTCCAGTTCTTCACAGGTGGGGCTGCTGGTCACAGGTGGGGCTGCTGGTCACAGGTGGAGCTGCTGGTCACGGGTGGGGCTGCTGGTCACGGGTGGGGCTGCTGGTCACAGGTGGGGCTGCTGGTCACAGGTGGGGCTGCTGGTCACATGTGGGGCTGCTGGTCACAGGTGGGGCTGTTGGTCACAGGTGGGGCTGCTGGTCACAGGTGGGGCTGCTGGTCACAGGTGGGGCTGCTGGTCACAGGTGGGGCTGCTGGTCACAGGTGGGGTTGCTGGTCACGGGTGGGGCTGCTGGTCACAGGTGGGGCTGCTGGTCACAGGTGGGGCTGCTGGTCACAGGTGGGGCTGCTGGTCACAGGTGGGGCTGCTGGTCACAGGTGGGGCTGCTGGTCACAGGTGGGGCTGCTGGTCACAGATAGGGCTGCTGGTCACAGGTGCCTGGTGCTGGCGGCTGGCGCTGGTGCTGGTGCCTGGTGCTGGCGGCTGGCGCTGGTGCTGGTGCCTGGTGCTGGTGCCTGGTGCTGGTGACTGGCTTCGGTGCTGGTGCTGGTTCCTGGTGCTGGTGGCTGGCGCTGGTGCTGGTGCCTGGTGCTGTTCCGCCGCCACTCCCTTCCCCCTTGTCCTCTCTCCCCCACAGCATTCCGCCGCCACTCCCTTCCCCCTTTCCCTCTCCCACCCGCAGCGTTCCGCCGCCAATCCCTTCCCCTCCTCCCTCTCCCACCCACAGCGACCGCAGCTGCACACGCGAACAGTCGCGACGGGGGAGGGGGGGGGGTGACGAGCAGGGGGCCGGGGGAATGCGACGGGCGGAGCGAGGCGAAGGGAAGGAAGAAAACGGGACGGGGGGGAAAGGGCCGCGACGACCGCCACCGTCGCCGTCCCCTTCATTCCCGATGCCGTCCCCCCCCCTTCCCCACTCTCGCGCAAACTCGGCAGCAGGCGTAGGCGCGGGCAGAGGTGGTGAGGGTGGGGAAATGCGACGGGCTGACGACGGGGGAAACGCGACGCGCTGGCGACGTGGGAAACGCGATGAGCTGGCGATGGGGGAAACGCGACGGGCTGGCGACGGGGGGAAAACGCGACGGGATGGCGACGGGCAGGCGACGAGGGAAAAAACGACGGGCTGGCGACGAGGGAAACGCGGCCGGCTCGCCGCCGCGCCCGTCGCAGCGAGCGCTGTGCCACGAATAGGTGGGCCCATTAACTTAGGTCAGGAACTTAATCGCTCTATACCATGTCACAATACTAACGTAGCTAGGAACCGGGGTTTACCTAGGGCCTAGGCTTAGTAGCCTAGACCAAGGGAGTGTCGAGTAGTTTGTGCCAAGGAGAATCGAGAATGAGTTATGATCACTATAGAACCAAAGGTACAAATAGCAAACTAACAAGGGTGCACCACCAATGTTTCAAAGGCATAACTACACTAAAGCTAACGCTACAGGCAGTTATACATACATATAAAATATATAACGCAACAGTGTCGTGCTGTGCCGTGCTGTGCCGTGCTGTGCCGTGCTGTGTCGTGCTGTGTCGTGCTGTGTCGTGCTGTGCCGTGCTGTGCCGTGCTGTGCCTTGCTGTGTCGTGCTGTGTCGTGCTGTGTCGTGCTGTGTCGTGCTGTACCGTGCTGTGCCGTGCTGTGTCGTGCTGTGTCGTGCTGTGTCGTGCTGTATCGTGCTGTGTCGTGCTGTGTCGTGTTGTGTCGTGCTGTGTCGTGCTGTGCCGGGCTGTGCTGTGCCGTGCTGTGTCGTGCTGTGTCGTGCTGTGTCGTGATGTGTCGTGCTGTGTCGTGCTGTGCCGTGCTGTGCCATGCTGTGTCGTGCTGTGTCGTGCTGTGTCGTGCTGTGTCGTGCTGTGTCGTGCTGTGCCGTGCTGTGCCGTGCTGTGCCGTGCTGTGTCGTGCTGTGTCGTGCTGTGTCGTGCTGTATCGTGCTGTGTCGTGCTGTGTCGTATTGTGCCGTGCTGTGTCGTGCTGTGTCGTGCTGTGTCGTGCTGTGTCGTGCTGTGCCGTGCTGTGTCGTGCTGTGCCGTGCTGTGCCGTGCTGTGCTGTGCCGTGCTGTGTCGTGCTGTGTCGTGCTGTGTCGTGCTGTGTCGTGCTGTGTCGTGCTGTGCCGTGCTGTGTCGTGCTGTGCCGTGCTGTGCCGTGCTGTGCCGTGCTGTGTCGTGCTGTGCCGTGCTGTGCCGTGCTGTGTCGTGCTGTGTCGTGGTGTGTCGTGCTGTGCCGTGCTGTGCCGTGCTGTGTCGTGCTGTGCCGTGCTGTGTCGTGCTGTGTCGTGCTGTGTCGTGCTGTGTCGTGCTGTGTCGTGCTGTGCCGTGCTGTGCCGTGCTGTGCCTTGCTGTGTCGTGCTGTGTCGTGCTGTGTCGTGCTGTGTCGTGCTGTGCCGTGCTGTGCCGTGCTGTGTCGTACTGTGTCGTGCTGTGTCGTGCTGTGTCGTGCTGTGTCGTGCTGTGTCGTGCTGTGTCGTGCTGTGCCGTGTTGTGTCGTGTTGTGTCGTACTGTGTCGTGCTGTATCGTGCTGTGTCGTGCTGTGTCGTGCTGTGTCGTGCTGTGTCGTGCTGTGTGGTGCTGTGTCCTGCTGTATCGTGCTGTGTCGTGCTGTGTCGTGTTGTGTCGTGCTGTGTCGTGCTGTGACGTGCTGTGTCGTGCTGTGCCGTGCCGTGCTGTGTCGTGCTGTGTCGTGCTGTGTCGTGCTGTGTCGTGCTGTGTCGTGCTGTGTCGTGCTGTGTCGTGCTGTGCCGTGCTGTGCCATGCTGTGTCGTGCTGTGTCGTGCTGTGTCGTGCTGTGTCGTGCTGTGCCGTGCTGTGTCGTGCTGTGTCGTGCTGTATCGTGCTGTGCCGTGCTGTGTCGTGCTGTGTCGTGTTGTGTCGTGCTGTGTCGTGCTGTGCCGTGCTGTGTCGTGCTGTGCCGTGCTGTGCTGTACCGTGCTGTGTCGTGCTGTGTCGTGCTGTGTCGTGCTGTGTCGTGCTGTGTCGTGCTGTGCCGTGCTGTGTCGTGCTGTGCCGTGCTGTGCCATGCTGTGTCGTGCTGTGTCGTGCTGTGTCGTGCTGTGTCGTGCTGTGCCGTGCTGTGTCGTGCTGTGCCGTGCTGTGCCGTGCTGTGCCGTGCTGTGTCGTGCTGTGTCGTGCTGTGTCGTGCTGTGCCGTGCTGTGTCGTGCTGTGTCGTGCTGTGTCGTGCTGTGTCGTGCTGTGTCGTGCTGTGTCGTGCTGTGCCGTGCTGTGTCGTGCTGTGTCGTGCTGTGTCGTGCTGTATCGTGCTGTGTCGTGCTGTGTCGTGTTGTGTCGTGCTGTGTCGTGCTGTGCCGGGCTGTGCTGTGCCGTGCTGTGTCGTGCTGTGTCGTGCTGTGTCGTGATGTGTCGTGCTGTGTCGTGCTGTGCCGTGCTGTGCCATGCTGTGTCGTGCTGTGTCGTGCTGTGTCGTGCTGTGTCGTGCTGTGTCGTGCTGTGCCGTGCTGTGTCGTACTGTGCCGTGCTGTGCCGTGCTGTGTCGTGCTGTGTCGTGCTGTGTCGTGCTGTATCGTGCTGTGTCGTGCTGTGTCGTATTGTGCCGTGCTGTGTCGTGCTGTGTCGTGCTGTGTCGTGCTGTGTCGTGCTGTGCCGTGCTGTGTCGTGCTGTGCCGTGCTGTGCCGTGCTGTGGTGTGCCGTGCTGTGTCGTGCTGTGTCGTGCTGTGTCGTGCTGTGCCGTGCTGTGTCGTGCTGTGCCGTGCTGTGCCGTGCTGTGTCGTGCTGTGCCGTGTTGTGCCGTGCTGTGTCGTGCTGTGTCGTGGTGTGTCGTGCTGTGCCGTGCTGTGCCGTGCTGTGTCGTGCTGTGTCGTGCTGTGCCGTGCTGTGTCGTGCTGTGTCGTGCTGTGCCGTGCTGTGTCGTGCTGTGCCGTGCTGTGCCGTGCTGTGCCGTGCTGTGTCGTGCTGTGTCGTGCTGTGTCGTGCTGTGTCGTGCTGTGCCGTGCTGTGCCGTGCTGTATCGTGCTGTGTCGTGCTGTGTCGTGCTGTGTCGTGCTGTGTCGTGCTGTGTCGTGCTGTGTCGTGCTGTGCCGTGTTGTGTCGTGTTGTGTCGTACTGTGTCGTGCTGTATCGTGCTGTGTCGTGCTGTGTCGTGCTGTGTCGTGCTGTGTCGTGCTGTGTCGTGCTGTGTGGTGCTGTGTCCTGCTGTATCGTGCTGTGTCGTGCTGTGTCGTGTTGTGTCGTGCTGTGTCGTGCTGTGACGTGCTGTGTCGTGCTATGCCTGTCAACATATATTTTATATGTGTTGTTTAGGTTAGTCTAGGTGTTACATTTCTACTTACTTGCATGATTAGGGTTTGCTATATCTAGGGTTGTACTTCACATTTTCTATCAATTCATTCTTATCGTAACATGGTATAGAGCTAGGTTTCCCTTAGGCGATTTTTCCCCTAGGCGATTTTATCCCTTAGGCGAAATTTCTCTCGATAGTCTATGGGCCCACCACCCGCGCGCCTCGTAGCGACCCATAGCCCGAAGCGCCCTGCCCCGTAGAGCCCGAGTAGGTCGCGCCCCCCGTCGACATCGCGCGTCACCCGTTTCTGCCCTGCGCCCCACCCGTTTTTTGCCGCGCGTCACTCGGTTTTTAGCCCCGCGCCCCACTCGTTTTACCCCGCGTGTTGCTCCCCAGTCCTCTAGCGCGCAGCAGACGAACGCACGTAGCTGCGCGCGCAGCCTTAGTCGCACCCGCAGCTCCGCGCTAGTACGTCGTAGCCGCGCGCACGTGCAGCCCACCGTCGTAACCGGCCCCCAGACCTGAAATCCCCCTCAGAACCGCACAGAACCGCCGCCTTAACAGCTTCCCCACCTGAAAACCGCCGCCCCAGACCTGACAACCGCTGCCCCACCTGGAAACCTGCTGCCCCACCCGTTCCAGGCACCTCACCCGGGATCAGCCGCCCCACCCAGTCCTCTCCACCGCATTGAACCGCACAGAACTGCACATAACTGCACAGAACCGCACAGAACCGCCGCCTTAACAGCTTCCCCACCTGAAAACCACCGCCCCAGACCTGACAACCGCCGCCCCACCTGGAAACCTGTTGCCCCACCCGTTACAGGCACCTCACCCGGAATCAGCTGCCCCACCCAGTCCTCTCCACCGCATTGAACCTCACAGAACCGCACAGTACTGCACATAACCGCACAGAACTGCACAGAACCGCCGCCTCACCCGTAGCCCGCTGCCTTAACAGCTTCCCCACCAGAAACCTGCCTCCCCACGATCTACCACACCCGCCGTCAGTAGCCCCAGCCGATTACACTGCCGCCAGCTACACCAGCAGCAGCATAGGCTGCCCCCAGCGCACCAGCAGCAACGTAGGCTGCCCCCAGCAGAACCAGCAGAACCAACAGAACCAGCAGAACCAGCAGAACCAGCAGAACCAGCAGAACCAGCAGAACCAGCAGAACCAGCAGAACCAGCAGCAGCATAGGCTGCCGCCAGCACACTAGCAGCAGCATAGGCTGCCCCCAGCGCACCAGCAGCAGCGTAGGCTGCCCCCAGCAGAACCAGAAGCGGCATAGGCTGCCACCAGCGCACCAGCAGCAGCATTGGCTGCCCCCAGCAAAACCAGTAGCAGCTAAGGCTGCCCCCAGCAGAGCCAGAAGCAGCATAGGCTGCCCCCAGCGAACCAGCAGCAGCATAGGCTGCCGCCAGAGCACCAGCAGCAGCAGCATAGGCTGCCCCCAGCGAACCAGCAGCAGCATAGGCTGCCCCCAGCGCACCAGCAGCAGCTTAGGCTACCGCCAGCGCACCAGCAGCAGCTTAGGCAACTGCCAGCGCACTAGCAGCAGCATTGGCTGCCCCCTGGAGAACCAGTAGCAGCCTAGGCTGCCTCTCAGCAGAACCAGAAGCAGCACAGGCTGCCCCCAGCGCACCAGCAGCAGCTTAGGCTGCCCCCAGCAGAACCAGCAGCAGCATAGGCTCACATGGCATGTACTAGG